TCACCATTGATTATCATTGTTATCTGTTTTGTAAAGAGTTGTCACAGATATGGATGAAGCAGACTTTGCAAAGGAACTGGGGAAAAACTTGAACATCAAAATGCAGAAGTTGATGGTATTGATGATAATGCTGATGATGATGAAGAAGAAGATGAAACATAATTGATTGTGGTTTGTTTTGGGAACATTTTAAAAGACACATACTGTGTTTTATTTTTATCTTACATGACCCTGCAGTTGACTTGAACTGCATTTAGTTAAACTTCAATTATACTCCAAACCCAACACAGATATCAATCTTTTCATGTTACTATGAGAAATAAATGTTTCATGGTCAGTATTACAAAGAGAGAAAATTTAATTTAAAATCCATTTATGGATTTAAAATACAGCCTCCAAATATTTAGCAGGATGAATTGGACCTTCACTTGAAACTATTGTAAATGTGCAGTCGTTGAAATTGAAAGTTAAATTTCATTTTTAACTAATCTCGGCGGTCACCTTTGACGTTTATCAGAACTTAACTACAGTCAGTGAAGTTCGTTTAGAAAATTTTCTGTGCTACTTTCTAACTTTATATATCATCAAATGAAACTGAGAGTCTTTGAAATTTGAAACACGGAAGGAGTATTAAGATGTTGGCGAAAAAAACAGAAGTAAACACAACTTTAATATATATGGTCGATCAAAATGCACATTACCGTGTTGTTGCGAATTTTTCAATAATTTGCATAAATTTTTTCTTTATTGTCTTTTATTGTCAACAGTAAAAATATACAGCTTTAAAATTATTATGTCGACGTCTACAAAAGTGCCAATGTTTCTCCACCAAATTCATCGCATTTTGTTCTTTCGACACAAATGTAAGCAATAGTTTGAAAGGAAATCGCCGTTTGTAGGGCAGGAATCGTCGGAATGAGGAAGTTGTAAATTTTATTATAACTTCTGTTCAATCACGTTAGTTCGATTTCGATTTTAAATAAATAAAATAATAATGAACTTAAATTAAATTACATAAACTCTTTTTCAGAATCATTCAACTTGCAACTTTCAAACATCAGCAGAATTTTTTCATGCGCAATTTTTTGCATCATGCAGAGATCCAGTGACTTCCATTGAGTTCTATAAGACCTATCTGCGTCTATATTGGTCTTATAGAACTCAATGGATCAAACACTTCCCCTCAGGTCTTATAGAACTCAATGATTCTGATTGGTTAGCCGGATGACGTATAACACGACGGACCGAGTTTACGCGGAATATAATCGTGAGACAGCTACACAGAACCAGTGAACTCGACATTTGAATAGCTGGAATGATAACCGAAGCCAAAATTGAAGCCAAAAAATATTTGTCGTCATCATTCATCATCACACGTCAGGCTCTAGTCTCTCGCGTGTTCATTTTGTACATTTTTAATCATTTGTCCCTTGGTAATGGTTGCGTTCGGATCTTGATCCAGAGCGTAAAAATAACGAAATTTTTGGAATGAAAAGGTTCACGGAAAGTGAATCAAAGTGATAAATCGAAGCAAGATGAGGTGAACTTAGTCGATCTGCTTACGCTGCGGTTTTCCTTCACAAAACATATCAAAGTCTTTAAGGATATTCAATTATTGATATCGCGATGACAACCATTTAGTATTCAAGTTTCAAGCACTATCAAAATCGATGAAAAATACAATCGCTCTGTAAAAAGTAAAAATGCGAGTTATAGACTCAATATTTTTTATAAAACTGGATATTCAAGTTTCTTTTTTATTCGGAAAAACAGATCTTTAAATCCACTTAAATGACAAAAAAGACAAACACTGTCTGACACCGTTTGAAGACTTCCGACGAAAAGAAAATTTATGCTTGGAATATTTTTCTGGTATATTTTCTATTAATATTGTGTTTTTAGCAGCAAACAGTGTAATTTTCAGTTGGCTTTTCCTCGTAACAAGTTGTAAGTTACAACGAACTCACTGTAATTAAAGTTTCAGCTGTAAAAAATAACCTTTGCGAGGAGTTGACTAGTGTGTTTTTTGGTAGTGATGTATTTATATATTTTGCTTTTGTAATTGTATTCAAATTTATATTGGCCGTGTATGTTTGGCACTCAGGGAATGAAACTAACATTACAAACCGCGTGAATATTTGACTTTGAAGGACTGGAACCTGACATTTCACCAAACCGCGCAGAGACTAGGACTTTGGCTTCAATTTTATATCTACTCCTAAAATGTATTGTCCGTTATCATTCAGACATATATATATATGAGTTCACTGCGAGCACTCGGTCTTCGCTCAAAGTGTATGATACACTCAACGAATTAAAAATTTTTCAATTTCTATTTTTCCTATTTTCAGTTACTTGATTTCCCCGACAGCAGAGTAAGAGATCTGACTTTTTTATTACATTTAGAACATTATGTTAGAGACCACATTATGTCCTTACGTAAACGTTTTACTCGAGCTAAATTTTTTGTCCTCATTTAGCTAAAGCTATGAGTATAAGTTTTGATTTATTATTAAATTTAGTGAATTTGTACAAAGTTGCGGGATTTGATTTTCATTGCGGCGTAGTACTAACTAGTTTGGCTTTTTCTGACTAAAATCTAACGTTACTTTCAGATCTTACCTCCTGTGGCGTGCGTCAAGTCAATCTATTGTTTGAAGAGGAGAAACTAAAAAGTTCTGACCGTATTTAGAAATCCATTGTTTTTCAGTGAGTGAAACCTTAAAATTTTACATACATTTTTTGCGCTATCGTGCTAGAAATACTTCGGATGTCCAAAGGTTAAAAATCAAATTTTAAAAGAGTATCGATTAACTTTTAAATTCTTGCATGGAAAAGTTCCGTGAATAAAGACTTTTTATCTTTATTTTATACCAGCATAGACATGGGTTGCAAGCTTTGCAAGATATTCCTGAAGAGAAAGTTGGAACATGGGGAACATGAAGTAAGCAATGGTGAACAAAATGTACACCATAATCTTGAGTGAAGTGACGTCAGGAATAGAAAAGAGTGGAAGACGTCATCCCGTACAAGAGAGACTCTTATTGAGAATTTGATTTTTTGCATATGTCTTGGTTTGATAAAGAGAACATGGATATACGATGGAAGCCAGGGATGATTTTGTAGTGAATGTTCGATCAACAACAAGAAGAAGTTTAAAATCAGAATGTATTAGTTGCCAACTTTCAGGTCCGTTTTCAAACGTCATACATTTACATGAGCCGAATGCATTTAAAACAAAAGAGAACGAGAATTTCGTCTCAATTTTTTTGTTTTGAATGCATTCGGCTATGTAAATAATGTATGAAAACAGACGCTTAGCGAAATATAAAATAAGCATTCATTATATATTACATAAAATAACCATTCACTATATAATAGTGTAAAATGCAAGCACTTGAAAACGCATCTTGTTTCTTTAAAAATGGAAACTTTCAAAGGACATATTTGTTTACATTTTTGTGTAGCTAATTGATAATTAATAACTTTCTTTAAACTTTTTGTATGTAAATATATATTTATTTTTATATATATTATTATTAACTTTGAATGGAATGATAATTTTGATGTAATCAGTTTTAACAGTGGTTTTAACATCAAACCGTTCATCGTTTTCTCTCAGTGTTCCTTGTAGACTAAAGCAGTTGATTTCAAAACAAGCCAAATAATAATGGTAAATTCTGGTTATTTAAAAATCAACGAGAAGATATTGTAAGCTGCTACACAAATGCAAAATGATTTGATAAATTGTTTAATGTATATTTTCCTCAAGTGTTGAGTGGGACTTATTCAAGCTCTTGACCAATCACCGCACCGCATTGTGTTTATTTTATAACCTTGATGACGCCCGAAGCAACTGTAGGATTGGCTGAAATGCAGTGTAAGGCAATCATTTTTGAAATAATGGTAAATGTGATATAGTTTTATATTTATTCTGTCCTTTCATCTTTGCTGCCTGGCATACTTCTGTGGCGGTGGAAATTTTCAACGTAAGTTATAATGTATCATGTACTATTTTCATAGAAAGCATTTTACACTTCTGTTTCAAGCATTTTGATTCTTGTAAGTAAACGTTCAAAGACAGAGTTTATTTGAGAGCGCAGTTTTTGTGAGCACTTTAAATATCGATTTGTGTCATATGTTTGAGTGTGACTTCATGTTTTCTTTATCCGTTTTCTTCTAGCTTTTTAGGATGAATAATTATCAATCATTGGAAACGTGAACGTTTCAAACCATCCTGAGATAAACAATCTCTTTGACTCGGAGACTCACCCAGAAGATGTTCTGTGCTCAGTGCTTGGTTTGAAAGATGGAGTTTGTACAGGCTTCTCGAAC